TAATTATTTTATAGAAAGATTTATAATTCATTTCAAAAGATATGTTTAAATTAATAAAAACTAATAATGTTAAATATTAATGCAAAATTCATTTAAAAAAAATGTAATAAATATAATAAATTTCATAGACAAAATTATTAAAAATATTAAAATAACCTAAATCTATTTTTTTATTATATTTAAATAATGTAAGATATGTAAAATAATTTTATTTAATATTAATCTAAATTTATTTAATATTTATAATCTAAAAAGATAATTAAATATTATTATAAAAGTTATTTAGATAATAGACTATATATATAACAAAACAAAAATATAACTATATATTATTTAATTTTTATTAAATTAAAGGGTTATAAAGAATGAAATGCAGGAATATTTTTTACTTATAATTCATTTCATGTAAAGAAACATTTTAATTTATTTCATAAAATTTATTATGCACATTTTTCAGTTTTTAATGCAATAAATTAATCACCGTTAATAACAACAATGCTTATTATTTTAGATAAAATAGTTTCATCATTTTTTAGATTTAAAATATGTTTTTAGTTAAAATAAATTAAATGCATTAATAAAAATAAAGCAATTGAATTATTACTGATCTAATTATTATTGTTAATAATTATATTGATCAATGTTATATTTTAAAAGAAAACAATGTTATATTTTAAAAGAAAACAAAATGTTACATCAGTATATAATAATAAATATAATGTTAACAGGCATATTTTTATTAATGAGCATATTAAAATAAAAAACTGTATTTAAAATCATTTCATGATAATAAAGAAAATAATTATAGCCTGTCTCATAAAATTCATATAGTTTTCTATTTATAAAGAACTAACTATTCATATTGTAAAATCGTTATCACCTAAAAATTTCAATGAAAAAAATTTCATGGTTGCATATTTCATAGTACTTTTAAACAAGCATTTCTAAAACAATTACATATTATTTGCATTTTATAAAGATAATAAAACTCTAAATATAAGGATTTAAAATTAAAAAATACACCAATGTACAAATAAAAGTTAATAAAAATTCTATATTTTTTTTGAAAAGTATTGCATTAAACTACTGAACTAACTTATTGAATCTTAACATTATCACATTTGTTTGTTTTTTGCGAATATCGCAATAATTTTTATAATTTAATTGTTAAATTTTTATGATAAAGATTTTTTAAATCTTATTTATTATTAGTTAAAAAACAAAAAAATTTTTTTTTCTATCTAATTATAAATGATATATTGGGATTTGGCACAAATATAATTTCAAAAAAATCAGACATATCAAAATATGACTATTATACATATTTATGCTTATTTTTGTATATATTTTTATTTTAAAAATAATATTATCAAAAATATTTTCCAATAAAACTGAAAACATTAAATATTAAATATATATCTATGAGAAATGTTCATTATATTAGACAGTGATTTTAATGCAGCACTTTATTTTTACATAAAAAATTAAATTTTTCTACATATAATGTAATTCCATACTTTTTTATGATGACATAAATTGTATTTATTAAAAAATTAATAAATTTTTTTTAAAGTATCGTTAAAGTATTTAAATGTTTATATTTTTTATATATAGAGGAACAATATTAGTATTTTAATCCTGAGAAGCAACATAAATTATTCAAAAAAAATTTTTGTCAAATTTTTGTTAGTAAATACATAATTTGATTTTTCTTTCTTATATTCTTGTAAAGAAAGATAATCATCTAAAAAAAAATATTTTACAATATTGAATTTTTTTTCATTAAATTCATTAAAACAAATTTTTCCTAAATTCTGATTACTATAGAATCAGATTTGGAAAAAAACTGATTGTTACAGTTCAATATTACAATTTTTTAAACTATATAAAATAAATCAATTTTTAACTAATTCTTTTTAATTTCTCTTTTTCGTAAAAATCTAATAATGGCAACTTCCTTTCTTAACACTTTCACAATAACTAAAACATACTACTTTTTTGGCGAATTCAGTAAATCTATACGCTCTTTTTCTTCTTCTGTGAGAAATATTTTGGTAATTACTATATCACCTGTACTATATGTTTGGCAAGCCACATTATTCAGAGTATTACGATCTGATCGTGGACTTTTATTTTTATCTTGACATGAACATACACATTTTGTTGGAGATACATCTGCACTGCTGGAGGAAAATTGATCAGTTGCAGAACCAGTAACAGCTGAAAGAATAGCTTCTAATTTTTCGATTTTTTCAAATCTATCCATTCGTCCATCAGATAGAATTTCATCTACCATTTGCATTGATTCTGTAAGACTTGGTGTATCAGAATTTCTTGGTGACAATATACCACCTATAGATACAAATATATAAATATATATAATAGCAATCGTGAAAACAAACTAATTAAACATTAAATTAAATTATTAACAATAATAAAAAAATTCATACCTGAATGTGAATTTTCAGAAGTATAACTTTCCATACTATGATATTCTGAATCTTCAATTTTATCTTCATCATCATCATCGCTACTTTCTCCTTTATCTTGACCCATATTTTCAAGTTTTTCTAATTTTCTTGCAACTTTGTAACTGCCTTTCAATTTCTCTTTTTCATCCTCAGTAAGATCAAGATAACGCAAAAGACGTATTTCACGATTACTTAAAACAATATTTTTGGTGGTTGCTTCTTCCATTCTTTTTTTTAAATCTGCAACTTCTGTTTCTACTTTTCGTTGTTTCTTTCGTGCTTTTACTTCTGCAGGTTTGATATGTAATTGAATTTGTTCCTCACATAGTTCATTAAAAAGAACTTGTACTTCTGGTTTTATGAGTCTAATAATATTAAAATATTAAAAAAAATTATAATTAACAAAAAATATCCATTTTTATGTTTTTTTTAGAATATTAAAAAATTAGATGAAAATATAACAAAATATATGTATAATTAAAAATTAATGAAATTTTTTTTATTCAAATTTTATTATTTTTTGAATTCAATTGAATCAATTTTAAACATCTTTAATGAAAAATTTAATTACTTTAGTTTTTTAAAATAAATTGTAAAAAATAACTACTATTTTACTAATATGTATATATTGAAAAAATCATTCAATAATAAAGCATGATTAAACAATATACCTAGACATGGAAATATATATTTGTGGAACCAAACTCAAAACATCACTACTAGCATAAATGAGCATATCTCGTGTTAGTGGACGCCTACACCAATATCTTTGATTATTACGATAGATATTTTTCAATTGTTCTTTTAATGGATTACTTGGAGCACCATAATGATCACATAGTGTATTCAAATTAACATTTTTAACTTTATATACAGGTTTACCAGTTTCTTGAAACTGCAGTACAGCATGAGCTGCCTACAAATAGAAATATAATTTATCTTTCAATCATACTTTTATTATTTTATGTTGTAAAACTTTTTTGAAGAATTTTAATAATTATAATTCAAATACCTGTGTATCAAAAACATTATTCAACATAATCTTAAATTGTCTGTACAAATTGACACTGTCATTTCTACAATCATGAATTACCTAAAATAATTAAAATAAAATTATTAAAATATAAATAAATTTATATAATACAACAAAATTTGAGTAGAGTTTTGGTTATTTCTTACTTTAATAACATCTTTATGTTCTAGAAGTTTTTGAAGGCCTCCAGCTTGTACAAGATTAGGACAAGCAAATAAATCAAATACATATGCTTGACCAGACATAGTTCCAATTTGTACAAGTGTCAATTGTCCTTTAACCCCTAAATTTATTCCTTCACAATCAAATGAAACAACAATTTTACCATCAGGAGAAGGTTTACGAGGATTTATTATATCTTCTATAATTTGAAGACTTTCTCTTGGATTTACTATTACTCTTGTCTGTTGCAATACCTTTAGTTTCCAAGCATCCCCCATTTGCATAGTTTGTAAACTCCTATCCTTTTCTGTATTATCTGCCAAAGTCTTCATTACAAGTGTATTTATTCTTTGTTTTAAAGTTTGTTGTTGCAAGCTTATTGGAGAAGTACTATTGCTTTCAATTGATGGAAAATGAGAATTTTGTATATTATTAATCTGACTTGTAATATTGATATTAGTAGATTCTGAATTAATTATTTGTGGAGATACTTGAGTATTGCTTGATTGAATAATTTGATTTAAATTTGTTTGACTTGCAGTACTATTTTGACTTCGTGAAGAATTTGTAAATCTTGTTTTTGCTTTTCCTTCTATGGTAGAAGACTTTGGCCTTCCAATTAATGTTACTAAATTACTTTGAACATGAAATGCATCTGGGAACATTTTGACAAATGTACACAAATCTTGTGGTGTTTTAAATATTGAAGTCCAATTTTCATATGAAAATTTATCATTAACTATATTAAACATTTGATCTACAAGAATTGGACCCTTTTGTTCAATGCATTCACAAAGAAAATCTAATAATTTTGCAGTAATCTCTGGATCTATAGGTATATCTGGTTCTAATTCTACAAAAGGTTCTGCTTTCATGCCTTCATATTGCTTTAACATTACATTATCTTCAGTAACTACAAAAGCATCAGGATATTTTAAAAGAAAATCTCTAAATTCTTTATAGTGTTGACCAGAAATATGTCTAACTTCTGGAGAAGCTTGGGATCGATGTCCTAAAAGACTCTTTATTGGTACTTCTGTACCAATTCCATACTGCATTAATTTATTTGTAAAATATTCTACAGCCTCTCGAGCATAATCGCGTTTACCACCTAATTTACATCCATTTTCTTCCTCTACAACTTGTTGAAAAGTATTTACCGATACATAATCACCATTAATAATAAAAAGCATTGGGTATTGAGCTAAAAATTTTTTAAGGCCACTTTGTGATCCACCAGCTATTTGGCGCATTTCTTTTGTAAATCCTTTAGCTCCAAATTGACAACTTAAATCATGTAAAGTACGTGGACCACCTTTATCCACAAGAAGTTCCAGAAAAAATAAAAGTGTCATATTTCGTACAGTCTCATATTCTGAACTATCCATTTTTCTACTTTATTTGTTGCTTCAAAAGAAGAGACTTTTTATTAATTATAATATCCAAAAAAATCTTGTCATGATATATCCTAAATATAATAATTAATTTTAGTTAATTTTAAATATCAATAATGTTAATAATAT